GGCTCTCGGGAGCCTCTTCAAGCTCTTTGGGGGGCTCTTGGGGCCTTCTGGGGGCCTCTTGCAGCGGAAAGCCGGGATTGTCGATTTGCGCTCCCCCTGTTGGGCGGCTTTTTGGGCCGTCTTGGGCCTTCGTCCGTCTTGGAGCCGTCTTGGGGGCTCTTGGGCGGTCTTGCGGCGGCCTTGGGGGCTTCGGCCGTCCTGGAGCGTTGGAAGCTCGAAAACGCGAGAAGGCTAAAACATTCAAAAACAACAGCAATGACAATTGACGATTTTGGCCTCTTCGGGCGCTCTCGGGACGCCTCTCTGAGCTCTCTTCGGGCCTCTTGGAGGCCTCTTGGGCTGCTTGGGAGCGTCTTGGGCCGTCTCTTCGCGTTCTGGGGGCTCCTTGGGGTGTCTTGGGCCGTCCTGGAGCGTTTTGGGGGTTCCCCAGAACGCCCTGGGGCGCGGTACCGGGAGTTGCCCCCAGATGTTCTGGAGGTGTGGGACGCTCCCGGGGGGGGGCGTATTCGCTTATAAATGACAGTATACACATATTCATATGGTGCAAGCTGTGCGGAGCTAGCTATGTGGCGCAAGCTATGTGGTGCAAGCTCGTGCAAACTATGCGTTGCAAGGTGCCCACCGCGCGAGAGCCCGGAATACCAGCCAACGCGCGGGGTGCCCTTGAGGCGTCCACGGGCTGCCACCGGGCGAGAGCCTGGAAATGCCAGCCAGCGCAGGGGGTGGCGACGCAGCGGCGACGGGCGCAGACCGTGCGAAAACCCTGAAGCGCCAGCCAACGCTGAAGGGGCCCTGGGACACACAAATAAACACACACAGATAAAAGGATTCCCTTATATTATCCCATATTTTCTGGGCTTTTGTCTTCCCCCGCACTTCCCATATTTTCGCACATTTCCTTAGGAATCGATGATTCATTGTGTCTGTTTTTTTCCTTTCTGAAACGCGTGTGGCGCCCATGAGGCGTCCACGGGCGGCCACCCGGCAAAAACATGGAAATGCCATCCGAATGCGTAGGAACACCAAGTAAGAACTCCTAAGTGCAAACGCTGTTCGGGGGACGGTGCGACATGTATAGCAAGAGGACGAGGGATGACAGGGCCGCTGTAGAAGAGAGGACTGGGAGGGAGGCAATATGGCCACACTACCTGCGAACAGTGTCCATGATTCTCTGCGGGCCCTTAATTTGCACAGTGTGTAGCGCTGGCCTTTGCGTGCCCAACGGCAGCAAGGTCGGCTGTGAAACGAGCGGAATATCGCAGCTAGCCTCCACGCAAAGACTCAACGCGAAGACTGGAACCTCTGCGCCTACTCCTTCGCGACGCCTCGACGAGTGGCGACGAGAAAATGGGCCCGCCTGCATGAAACATCCAGGGGCCCAGGCAACGGGCGATAACGAGCAAAGATACAAAGCCTGGAACCGTGCAAAAGCAGAGGGCAAGACACGGCTTCTACCCTGGATGCCGTGCCGGGCTTCTGCTGTCTACCAGGATGGTGACGGACGCACGTCAATTAGAGGCGGTCAAGGCGTGCAACCACAATTAACTTCCCGATCCTATTTCCAGAGTCATGGCCCGTCTCGCCTCTCCCCCCACACTCTCTGCTGTTGCCTCAACTGTGACTCATCGTCGTCGGCCGACCCACTGGAATTTTGCTCTTGCCAGTCCCTCGCTGCACCCCCGCTCTTGTTGAAGGAAGTATGTTTGCACCCCTTTGGCTGGACAGCCAAATCAAGAAACAGTGCGCTCCACGTGCTCCCGACTTCAATCTCGAGACATGTCATGCGCGCCAGAGGCGATGCAAACGACGCGCCTGTTTAGTGCGCGCGTTTCACTTTCAATGTGAACTTCGGGGGCGAGGGCCGCGCGGACTTCCTGCACCGGTGCTGGACTCCCATCCGTGGCGCGCGGAGCGCGCCAGGGGGCTCCGGCGCCGATCCAAGAAATCCGCGCGGAGCTCCGAACGTTTGACGTCTGCCGCCTTTCCTTCTTCGGCTCGGTCTGTCTTGGCGCCCGAGCGGCGCAAGCAACGTGCCCTCGAGCTTGGGGCCGCGCAGCTCTCCGCGCCCCGCTCCGCGCGCTCCGCGGGGTGGCGCGGCCCCCGTCTTCGAGGCCTCGCGTGCGGCCGGCCCGTAGAAGGACCCCCCTCGGGAACGGGTTGCGGAGAACGGCTGATTGCCTCCGCGCCCGTGCGGGTGACCTACAGTCATCGTGCTACGCCAGAAGGAGCGCCGAAGAAGGAAAGAGAGGGCTTTTCGGGCTACGGCGGACCTCGGACGCGACTCCGTTCCACGACCCAGATCTGAGGAGCGGCCCGAAAACCATCGCCCCTCCAGAGCCCAGGGTGGTGCTGATTTCAGTGTCTTGACAACAGTTTCCACTCCTCCTCCTCCTCCTCCTCCTCCTCCTCCTCCTCCTCCTCCTCTTCCTCCTCCCTCTCCCCCTAATCTCTCGCTGTCCCTCCCTCTCGGAAGGTCTCTGGTGGCCACTGAGAGTCTCGGGAGAGGTCCCTGAATGCCCCAAGGGATCCTCAGAGAACCCTGGAGGCCTCCAGAGTCCCCAGAGGCGTGAGGAGGCCGGGGCACACACACATGAGCAAAAACTAGATCGTCCTCCTCCCTCCTTTTCTTTTTCCCCGACTTCCTCCTCCTCCTCCTCCTCTTCCTGTTCTTCCTTTTTCTACTCGTTTTCCTCCTGCTCCTCCTTCTACTCTTCCTCCTCCTCCTCCTCCTTCTTCCCCCTCCCTTTCTTACTCCATCAATTTCCCTTATAGATAACTCCCCCAGACGTGTCGGTAGGGCGGGCTGGGCGTTTCGCCTGAGACCTCATCGCCATTCCAGATCCTGGAGCTTGAAACTTGCAACTGGTTCGCGAATCCAGGGCGGGTCGTTTGAAAAATGTGGCTCTCGCCTTAACGCCGCGCACATTCGTCTTAAACGTTTCTAGCAGTTTTGCGGATCCAGGGTGGGTCGTTTTCAAAACGTGGTTCTCGCCCCAGCGCCGCGCACATTCGTCCTCAGAGCTTGCTGTAGTTTCTCAGATGGAGGGCGGGTGGTTTTCAAAATGTGGCTCTCGCCTTAGTGCCGCGCACATTCGTCTTAAATTTGCAACAGTTTCACGGATGGAGGGCGGCTCCATTTCAAAATGTGGCTCTCGCTTTAGCAACAAAATCAAGGATTCTTATGGTCGAAGTCCCTGGAATGGTGTTATGGCACAATTGAAGGTTCTCAAGACGCAACAGTGACGTGAATTCGCAGTGTTGAAATCCCAGGAATGGCGTTCTGGTGCGATTTAGGATTATCAGGACGCAACACGCAGGTTTATCCGCGGCGTTGAATTCCCTGGAACGGCATTCTGGCACGATTGAATATTCTCAGACGGTTGTCTTCCAATGGGGCATTTCCCGCAATGAGCAAAAACTCTGTTAGGGATCTTTTGCCTCCTCCTCCTTCTCCTCCTCCTGCCCCCCTCGGTCCCCGCAGGCGGGAGGGAGGATGTGAGGGGGAATGCTAAGAAGGGACTGGCTCAGGGTGGAACCGTCGAGCTGGAATCGGCGATACATCCATCGTCGATGGATCGGCGATAGGCCCCCAATGGCGAATCCGCGCGGTCCTGGGCGGGGGAGGCTATCTGGCCCCTGTCGGTGATTACTGCGCGATTGGGGGTCGATGCGTCCTCCCAGAGCCCATCACCCCCTGGCGCTGCCCCCGATCCCAGGGCCCCTCCGTGCTCCCTTCGGGGCCGCGGCTGGCGAGGCGGGCGCGCGTCGACCATGGAGGCGCGTCGCGCCGCGCCGGCGCCGTCGTCACTCCGGAAGCGCGGCAGGCAAGGCCGCCGACTTGGCTACGGCCTGCAACTCACCTCTTTCGAGTGGGAGATCGTCTACAGCCTTGATTTGCCCCAGAACTGTTTTCTCGTCCAATCGACGGAGAAAGGCCTAGAAGGTTCAGTACATCAACGGAAGTTTCAAATATAGGTTGTCGATTCGACGAACAATGCAATGTTGGGGTCAATCAATTCTTTAGCCGATCTCCTGCTCGACTCCTGGGGGTCCCAAAGCGGTGCGGTGGCAGACCCGTGCGGTGACCTCGAAATGCCCCAACAGGATCTCGTCGCACTATTTGGGGACCCAGGAGGCCCCAGTCAGTCGCCCGAGACATTTTTTGAGAACGACCCGCGTCCCAAAACCGTGCGGTCACTCCGAATCCCAACTGAATCAGCTCATAAGATGGTCACCGCACCGTTCTTTGGCCCATGAACCTCCTGGTCGGCAGCGAGATTCGAGCGCCCCTGGCGCCCGGGTCGTTTTGAGCAGACGAGACAGACAAGCCCTGACTCGGGCGTTGCCAGAAGTGCCCCTGGCCCAAGGTGCCGCCAGGATTTCCAAGGAGGCCCCCACGGCCTCCAGAGCACCCCTCACGAGGTCCAGATGGCCCGAGGGGCTCCAACATCGAGCGAAAAGCTGGGGGGGCACCTCGGGCGAGGGGCACCTTCAGGAACCCCCAACTGACACCCTCGAGCCGTGAGAAACACACACACAAACACGCACACGGAAGTATGGAGTAATTTTCGGCTTCCAGGGGGCCCCGGGGAGACCGTCGACAAAACCGCCCAGGATCGAAACCTGGCTCCAGGGAAGGGGTCCAGGCCTCTGGGGGCCCACGCTGGGAGAGACTCACGGCGCCGGATGTCTGGGAGCGCACGCCGCCCGCGGCAGGCAACCTGGTGGGCGGTCGTGGCGCCCCCGGCATCGGGCCACTCCCCAGACCCCGACGTCAGGATTGTTTCACGACGTCAACCCCCAGAGGTCTCGACCCATTCCCCAAGACCAGCTTTTCATCCAAAGTCCTTTCTTGACGGTCCCGAGGCCTGGTAAGAGCCGCCACAAACCGAAAATAACGAAACACCTCCCGTCGGTTCAAGCTGTTTGAAGCAATTGTTACATCAACTGCGTGTTACTCCCTCGACACCTGCCCGCTGACGGAGTCTCTGGGCCGTCGC